TATGCCCCCAGGATTTTTGTTTTTGTCTCTCCATGAGTGCTTTAGGCCCAGGAAAGGAATTTCACTTTGCTTGGTTGTTGACAAAAATGCCTCTCCTGTCTTAAAACAGCTGGAGAGTTACAAACTTTTCCCCATTCCCTATGGGAGACATTTTTATGTTTAAAATGTGGGGAGAGCTCTGGAGGCCTCAAAACAAAACAAAAAAACATCTTGGGGCTGCATAGACTTTGAGGGATGCATTTTCTTCTTGTTAGGGTTAGCACTTTGCAAGATTGGCTTTGTGTTTCTCGTGTTTGAATATGAGTAAATGTAAGTGTTTAAATGTAAATGTATTCTTGGATGGAAAGAATATTCACAATTGTTCACTTACAGATTGAAAAAAAGATTTCTTTACATTCAGGATAACTCATCAAGAAAAATAATAGAGCAGAAAGACTTCTGTGCAATTTTGTCCTGGTATTTGAACATCCCAAAGTATTGCTGTGGAATTATTGTGTGGAAAAAAACCTATTTTTGTGTGCCAAAATTCTTACATCTTTTCTGGGGTTTCCTGTGAAGAAAACACTGTGTTTTCTTTTTAAAAGTCTTTTTCTTTACACAGTAGTTCTTCCACAATACTTCTGGACATTTGGATTTGAGGGGAATATTGTGGAGCAATATTCCAGTAAATATCCATTCTTGCATGCAAGGACAATATAGTCAATGATCCCTAATTAAATGTGTGGCTGTAGATTGCTCACAAGTTCCATAATAGATAAGTGCACTTCTGTGTTATAACAAATGTATGTGTATGTGTCAAGATGTGGGTGAAAGAAGAACCATTGAAATAAAAGTTGAGAACTTCTGGATTACTGATTTACAGGACAATCCTGTGTATGTCTGTTCAGAAGTCAGTTTAATTAGTACAGTGGGTTTATTTCCCAGGAAGAGTGGAGTGCCAGTGTGGTGTAGTGGTTTGTCCATTGAACTACAACGCTGGAGATCAGGGTTCGATTCCCTGCTTGGCCATGGAAACACACTGGGTGACCATGGGCAAGTAACACCCGCTCAACCCCAGAAAACCTGTGTGTGATAGGTTCCCCTTAGAGTCATCATAAGTTGAAAACAACTTGAAGGCACACAATAAGAACTGGAAGTATGCTTAGGATTGCCATCTTAAAACTGCAGTTCTGTCTACAGTTGCCAAATAATAGACACTGTTAAACAGCGAGGTTCTTAACCTCTCAGTGGATTGTGCTTCAAGTGGGTTTTGTAAGTCTATAGTATGAAAACCTAACAATGACAACTACTTCTTGTTGTTACTGTTGTTTATTTATGTAGCTCCATAAATATATATGGTGCTTTACAATTAAAACAACAAAAAACAGCCAGCCCTGCCAAACATGCACAATCTAACACACACATACTATATTAAGACGTTGTGGTTTTATGAACCTTTGCTTTAAAGCAATTTTTGTTTTCTTAATATAAGCTTAATAATGTGAGTGGAAAATAGGAAATGGTGCTAAAAATGACTAATGTGTTTGCTTTCCTTCATTTTCTGCTTTGCAAACTAACACAGTTTTACACTTCCATTTTTTCTATTATTTTTTCTACCATTTTTTCTACTATTCTACCATAATTACTATTACTATACACTATTCTTAACCAAAATTTAGAGAAAAGTGGACTTTGTTCTGTTTTTCCTTGCTGGATTTCAGATGGGTGTTTCTCCAGCAGATCCAGCCATATGCCTCTTCCACGTCACAAACATCTTAGGAAGTTTAGAGGACTTTCCGAAATGATTTGCGCAATGACATAGGTCTTACACAAGTCCACCTGGGAGTAAACTCAGATGAATAGTGTGAGCAATGTCTAAGTAGGGACAGATAGAATTGCCTATTTCTAATCTGTTTCACTTTTGCATATATCCATTCTTAAATTGATCCTGTCATGTTTTTACAGTATTCTCTGCGTGGCTGTCTGGATGAAAATTTCCATTAATTATATCTATATTCTTAATTATATTTTTTCACAAAATACAGTCGGCTCTCCTCACTTGCAGCTTTGACTTTTGCAGATTTGATTATTTGTTGATTTGATTAATAGGTTCTGTCTAGGAATCTCTAGGTACTCCAGTGCAACTCTGGTGGAAGAAGACCTAGAGATTACTAGAGAAAACCCTTCTCTAGCCACTTTGTTGGTCCTCCCGTGTGATTCTGTGGCCAATGTTGACCACAGAGTTGTGCTTGAAGAGATTACTAGAGAGGTGTAAAAAGATTAAAAAAATAGTTGTTTTTTTATTTGCGATTTTTTCACTGTCTTATTTGCGATCTTGTGCTCCTAACCCCAGCAAATGTGGAGGGCCCACAGTACACATTTAGTACATATTTTGCCCAGAAATGCATGTCTTTATATGTATTTTGATAGATTTTTAGAGCCAAGAAATGTGTCTCAAAATTGGAAAAGGGCAAAATCCAAATTCCAATCCAGTGTTAATTTTGAATGGGCAGATCAGGCTGGTTTGCTTAGAAATATGTGTGCTCAAAAAATCCTTGACCATTGCTGTTTTCAAGTAAGCAAGCATAGAATTGCCCTGTTGCTTGTACTTTTTTGACATGCCTCTCTGGCTTGTGTTTCTTTCTAAGTGCTCTGTCATTGCAAATCACCTTTTATAAAAATGACTAATGATGTCACTGCAACAAAACACTTGTTATTTTCTCCCTAGTTTGCATGAGAATGTATTCAAGATTGTTACAACACTAGTCTATTATATCTAGCACATTGCACAAACAAGAATGACTTCTTCACTTATTCTTTTTCCTTTTAATGCCAATTAAATTGAACATTGTCACAATTAAATATTTTTTAAAAAAATAATTCTCTGGAGGCTAGGAATTATTACATGTAATCAAATCTCTAACAAACCTTACAGCACTTTTTTTCCTGTAGCAATTAAGTTGTACTCTCAGCATGCATACACATACATACACACACACTTACACTCCTCTTTCCTGGCAGGGCAATATAATTAATTGAAAATCTGCTTCTTCCATTTTAACTTGACTCTACTCAAGTCTTTGCACTCACTGGTGGCCAAAGAAATCTGCTTCATTTAATCTCTAAATGTCTCGTATTTGTATTTTAGATAATTACTTTGTACCTTGAGTGGAAATAAATGAAAATGTTTAATTAAGCTACATTACTGTAGTATTTAACACATTGCCTTTCTCCTTGTGTCATGCACATAAATGCTTTGGATGAAGGTATACAGTTATTTATTCTGCTGTAACATCAGATAGTGGGACCTTATTCTGGGACTGCTGTTCTATGGTGCTGTATAATCACTGATAGAAAATACAGACATAAATATTTAGTTAGGATCATGATGTCAATTATTCCAGACTAGCACATCAAATGTACTGTAATAATTAACACTCATTTTCAGGTCATTGACAACAACATAACCTGCTTCTCTTCCTTTAAAAAGTCAATTCAAAGTTCCAAGTATACAAAGTTTTCTTTATTTCCTCCTTTCCCTGAACATATGCACATGACCTATAACCTCCATGCCTGATCACCCCTTAACTATTAACAATTATTATTATTTAACAGCCGAGTGGCCCATCTAGGAGAGTTCGTTCTTCAACTGTCACTGGTGGTGAAGAGTCAACGGTAATAACGTCTTTATCAAGACAAATATATTTTCCTCTCAGTTCCTTTTCTTCTTTTCTCTTCTCTTCAGAATGTCAGCTTTATAAGTCTTCTGCAGATGATTTACTTTCCAGAAATTGTTCTCCATGTAACAACTTTGTGCAGATGCCTTCTTCCATGTTGTGCCTCAGCTGTGAGATTAAATTGTCTTTCACCAATGCTCAAAATACATGTTGTGGTTGCTGGGAAATCATAGTTCTCGAAAGACTGCTTTATAGCTTCTTATACCAATAGAGAAGGGGGGAAATGGCTTTAAACATGTATATATAGAGAAAAATAAGTTCTATGGCAGAAATTCCCCTGCACAATCCAGAGTTTACCCCAGGGGTAGGCAACCTTTCCCCTTTAAGGGCCAAGGGACTTCATCTCCCAGAATCCCAGGAGCTATTGGCCAACATGGGACTATTGGCCAACATGGCTGAGGCTTCTGGGAGCTGAAGTCCCTTGGCCCTTAAAGGGGAAAGGTTGCCTACCCCTGGTTTACCCCAATGGCAAATAATTGCCACAGCTCCAGCATACTAGGAAGTATCGGTCTGAATTTGCTTGAACTATATCTGGAAACATAGATGCGTTAGTATAGAATATCAGTATGTATCAGTATGCAAGGAGATCATGTAGCATCTCTGAGACTATGTAGACGATATTGTAGCTACAACTTCTTCTACATAGGGCCTTTGCAGCCGGGCGGCCATGGGCCGCCCTGAGAAAACACAGGGTTGGGGCCAAGGCTGCCTCAGCCCTAATCCACCCCTCTGCCGGCCCTGGAAGGAGCGCCAAATTAGTGCTCCTTCCAGAGTGGGCAGAAGGGGCGCCGGAAGAGCCGTTGCGTAGCTCTTCCACGTCTCTTCTGGCTCAACCCGTGCAGAGGCTGGGCCGGGAGGACGTCATCGGAGCACACGCCGTGTGCAATGGCGGGCGCTCCAGTGATGTCTTTGGGAAGGGGTTGGGGCGTCCGGCGTCTGGCTGCCCCTCCTCTTCCCTGGCTCCAAGACGGCACTTTGCACCATCTGCAGAGCCCCATAGTTAGTCTCAAAGGTGCTACAAAATCTCCTTGCATTCTGGACTAGAACTAGATTTATAAAATGAGGAGCAGTGATGAGTTACAACAAAAATGGGAACATTAGCTGTGATACATTAGAAAAGCATTAGAAACCTTCTGAAAAAGTGTTGGGAGGGAAAGAACTCTTTTACCTTTTCTAGTACCCTAGATTAATTTTTTTTAAAAATCTAAGAAAAAAAGATACACAGGCAGGGTACAAACCAGTCACACTGTACAGGTCAGGATTGTCAAAAACAAGTTTCAGTTCATCTAGGAAAAAATGGAGAGGTGGAAGGGAATTAGGGTTGTGAAGAAATCTTGCTAGATTACACATTCTTGTTAGGAGACAGACTGCCAATAGTTCATTAACCTCCTCCCCATGAGATTCTTCCAGTGCAAAATCTCTCCATCAAGGTTTCCACAAGTTGTGCCAAGTGTCTGCAGATAAATAGGGTCTTCCGTTTTGTGAAACAAAGCACACACATGCATCAAGCACAGAAAGGCTGGCTGATTGATCAAAACTATGCAAACAGCTCATCCAATGGTTCTGATTTTTTAAAATGCCATGCAAGAAAGTAGTAATTATCATACTTATGCAATTAACAGTTTGTGCAATTTGCAGAAGAGGGGGGAATCAGTTCTTGCAGCTTTCTTGAAACCAACAGGAAATATCTTGTGGGTGTGGAGAAAAAATGTTATAATAATAATAATAATTTTTATTTTTAACCCGCCCCTCTGCTCAGCAACCAGGGCAGCGTACAGCAAGTTAAAACAGACAACATTTAAAACAATCCTTCAGCCCAATCCCTAACCCTCCCACCCCTTAAAAATAAATTAAACTAGAGCAGTCTTAAAATAACAATTCAAACAACATACATACGATACAATGAGCAAAGAAACTTCTTAAAATAGCAGGCAATAGAGTCTGGAAAACAGGGAGCAATCCAGACTCCTAATATGGTTGGGAGATTATTCCGGGAAGACCTGCTGGAAGAGATCCGTCTTCACTGCTTTTTTGAAGCAATCAAGGGTGATAATAAGACGGATCTCATCAGGCAGGCCATTCCATAGTCTGGGAGCAGTAGCAGAAAAAGCCCTCTGGGAGGTCTGCGACAGCCTAGTTTTCATAGGCTGCAGCAAGTTCTTCCCAGAGGACCGAAGTGCGTGGGGGGGGTGTCATATGGCATATTTGTTTATAGATTCTTACAGAAGCTCTTTTCCAAATAACTGGAAGTAGTTCTGCAGATTTTGTAAGTTTTAGAAGAGAGCCAGCATG